CCCGGGAGGCGGCCTGGCCGCCTGAGGAGGAAGTGTTGGCCTGGCCCGGCGGGGGCGGGGGGCGAGCGCTGTTGACGGCCGGGAGGGCCCTTTCGGCAAGGCTCGGTCGTGGGAACGGGCGTCACACGCCTGTCGTCCGTGACCGTGCCTTGGTATTGCTCTCTCTTGGTGTATTTTTGTTGTATACCAAGGTGAGTGCTGCTGTTTCTCAAGCGAGCCATAATTTTGCATCCACACCTCCAAATTTACTTAGGTGCATCAGCCTCTGCTCTTTTAAATCCATTATTTCCGAGTTAAAATCAGAGGAGTTAACATTTTCTTAAATTACATCGCATTCTTCTTGTTCTCCTTACCGTGAAGGAAAGTTTCAAATGAAGACTGCAAGAGCGAAACCTCCAGTGATGCTTCTAGGACCAGTTACTGGTTTGTTTATGTTTCACAGGTCTGGCCTCTTGAGGCTTTTTAGTGCGTAAGGAACAGATTGTAGAAGGCCTCAGTACACAAGTTGTCTCGCTGTTTCTCTGCTATTTTAATTGCGCTTGGCAAACTGGGATCCTGATGTCAGTATAACAGGACTTTTCCTGAACTCTAGCACATCTGTATAAGCTGTGTTTTCTGTTCAGTGGTCCTTTTTTTTTTTTTCAGTTTCCATTGTTTTCAAATTAACAGTTTTCTCCTTTAGTTTGGAAGCTTTTGGTGGAAATTTTGACTGCGATCTCTGAAGAAAAGACATCCACGCTCTTCTATTTCCTCCTCTTGAGCGCTGAGTTGTCAAAACCGGTGACACTACAGATTAATAATTGCTAACTCTTTTGCGTATTTAGTGGCAGATGCATGACTGTTCAAAAACGCAAAACTTAAAAAGATGGTGCGTGGCTGACTTGTTCAGTGACTGAGTGGGTTGTCTTCCTGGTAAACGGGAAAAGGCATGTGCTTGGTAGGTCTTAAATATGCAAAATAAAAAATGTGGTTTTAAAAAAATCAGAAGGTATTTTCTGCTAGAAATACTGAAAAGTCAGTCTTTTGAGTTGCTTTGTAGGCTGATTTAGGCTAAGCTATTCTTCCTTATTACCCGTCGCAAGCACTGCATACATCTGAAATCTTGAACCTTCTTGGAAGTTTTTTTTTTAAATCACAACTTTTGAGAGTTTTGTGTTGGAAAAAACCCTGGAGTTGCCATAGTATGTTTACTTAAAACTGAAGCACAGGTGGAAGGAAGTATAATGGCTTTCTTGAAGTATGGTATTTCAGCCACTTACTGTGCCCATAGGATATGACTGTGTGCTATATTTTACACATGTATTTTCAGCAAAACTGCAGCTTGCTAGAACAGTCTTATGTACCTATGGCAGTGACTGGAAGTGATCAATGATGTGTAACCATTCTTTAGAAACAGAGTGTTTATTCCAGGCATTCTTGTCTGTTCTTGGTTGGTACTAGCTT